CATTGGTTTTCCCATTGTAAGCTCACACCCACCCACATGAATCATGGGATTCTTTGTTACGACTTCACCTAAGTTGAAATATATAGAAAATCGTATAGCAAAACAAATATTTAATTATACATTCTCGCTAATTTTTTGTTGCTATAATTTTGAAATAATGAAGTAATGTCTGTTATTAAAACAATCAGAATGCTGTGCTAACATTGTTGCATCGATGCAATTCTCTGGTAATTCCTGAAGGCATTCTAGGAATGCAATGCAATGTAAAAGTGGATTATCAAAGTATGATTTGTTCGAAATGATTTTAGCCAAAAAAAAAAAAAAAACATGATATTTTTTAAAAACTGATAAATACCGTAGCAATTTAAGGTAAACTGAATATTCACGTTTTCTTATATAAATTTGATGATCAATATTTGGGAAAAGTCAAAAATCATCAAAGAACAGGTTTAAGACTTGGATTTGGAGCATTTTGGGGGGTATGGCGAAATGCGACCCCAAAAACACAAATGTAGGTACTTAGTCAAGCATGGGTACTAACTGTAACAAGTACGGTAGAGATCCTGTGGTATACATGAAATAATGCCAGGTGTTTTGAAAAGAGTGCACATACATATTCTGCTCCAAACTTACCTTACACCACAAGTCACATCAAATGATTTCTGTACAAAACCTGAGGTCTACATCAGAGAAGTGACATTAATGCCATCTGAGATCAATTTGATAACTCTGCTATTGTACTTAACCACATAGTGTGTAACAATTAATAATTCAAGTTTTGTATAATTGTGCTTTGAAACTCTTGAATCAAAATATACAAACCAACCTTTAAAAAGTGGCTTATACATGTAGACAAACAATAACTGAAACATGAATCCCAACTTACAAGCTAATTCTGAATTTACTCCTACTGCCTCTTACTCTTGATCATAAATAAAGCCAATTCACTTACCTGCGGAGTATGGAGCGTATTTCCAATCTCGTGGAATCTGTACAAACTCCACTGGTAGTTGTCTTATCAATACAGACGAAGTTTCAATATGAATTCGTTCATGCTCTATTCCCATCAATAATGCCCACTGAAATATAATAATGTTTATACATCGAAGGATAATTGAAAGTTGTGATTGGTGTATAATAAATGACATGTGACATAAGTGATATGTACACGTAAAGTTGATTGCAATTAGTCAATACATGTTTAAGATCTGGCTCAAGAACAACATTTTTGAAAACAAAATAGTGTCAGACATTTTGAATCTGATTTGTAAAACAAAATAATGACATGCATTAATATCCCATGATGTTCAATGTATAACTTGAATCTGGTTCTGGGTTGACAATAAAATACTGGATTTTGATGGATTCTTAGTACTTAGATGGTTGTTATATTCAGACATCATGGAATTGGATCTTAAAACAAATAGATGTGTATCGATGCATCGTCAACTGTATGATGTGTGTGTGAAGTTTGAACATTGATCAGTCAAGCCATGTTCGTTTAAGATACATGAATTGATAAAACCCTCGACTCTCAGGGAATAGAGAATAATATTCTTTTTTTTCCTACTGCATTTGAACTTGAGAGAGTTATAAACAGAAAAATTATAATGGCCTCAAAGAGAAACAAATTCAATAATGTTGTAGAATTTCCACTTACCCAGGGGCTTTCCTGATTGATTGGCAGTACCAGTGGAGTATCCGCGATCACTTTCAAAATAAGGTTTCGCACAGTACGTCGATAGACAGTTACCTCCTCAATCGATGGCCACTTGAAGGTCCCACCCATTCGATAATTCTCCTGAAATAAGGTTACAGTATTAATGATGGTAGATATTATTATTGATATTATTAAGGGACATAATCTTGTGTAGTGGAATATAAATAAACAATTGTGTACTATCTCGTCTATGTTTTTTTTCAAATTATTTGATTATATTTAAGATTGAAAGAAAATGTGGTCACCAAACTGCATTTTAAAACAATACACCGGTAATATTTTCTCCACCCCAATCTGTATATGGTCAAACCTTGAACAAGCGTATTGCAATTCAGTAGATTGTTTACTAACAGGTGAATTGTAATGTACCAATCAAATCCAAATCTTGACAGGGTTACACCAAAAAACAACTAAATTACAAGTTTTGCTGGAAACCACCATCTTACAGCTCCATTATGAAAACGGCCAAGGAGCAGTTGAAACACATTCAGGAGCTATGTGATAGAAAAAGTGTTCTTTGTTTTTCGTGTAATGAGATGTTCATATGCAAGGGATTTTTCATGTGAAAATGACTAACGTGGTCAAATTTTATTAGCAGTTGGCTAAATGTTACCGCAACGGAATGTGTGGCTGTGAAAGTTTGTTATTTTCCCCCTGATTTGTAAAAAACTGAAAAACATGTTTTTCAATTTGTCTCTTTATTTTCATACCATATAGTAAATATCAGTGAATTAATTTTATTCATTTCATATCACTTGTAACCCAGATAACTGTGGTTCTGACCAGGGAAATGCATGATTATGACAAAACACCAGATTATTTGGTATGATTTTTTTTTGTAAACTACTTGTAATTAAATAATTGTAAACATTAGTAGTACGGCAAATCACCTTTAAATGGAGAATCCCAGGCTACATAAAAACATTCTATGTTTCCTACAAGCAATATAGACTTGCCCAGAGTGGACATGGCCACAAGTCATCACCAAGGCAACTATTCACTCACAACCAAAGCAGTTAGCCAATTCACTAGTGAGTTTGCAAATTGGCTGCCCCAGTACTTCTGGGAGTCATTGTTATTTTATAACTGAAAGCCATTTGAATTATTTTCTTTGTTTTGTTTAAGAAAATATATAAAACTCTGTAAATTCTTGCAAAATTCACACTATAGACCTGTATTCACCATCGATGGCATAAAACAGAATGGCGTGCACACTGACACACTGTCCATGGTAATTAGAAGGAAGGCTATATTAGAATACTTGTGGTATACATGTTAAAATTGAACAATAATAATTATGTAAATAAACTAATTAAATATGACAGCCTAAATTTGCATAAACAATGATTATATGGCATTTATGAGTTTCACAAGAAATAACATGTATTGCATTCAATGTTTCAATGACAAAATGCAGTCTGTTATCATGAAAAATCTATGAAAATTGGGCTATTGAGGTCATGGCGACAGCCAATCAGTGATAACACAATTAAACAATCTTCCCCTCTTTCAAAATGACAGTATCCCACCCAAATTAACAATGGTACAGTCCTAACTGATTGAAAACATGTCCTGAATTGTATTTTCAGTTACCAACATTGCTTGTCTAGCGAGTATTGTTATTTTTGATGAATAGTACCTATTTTTATAGAAGAAAGTTCAAACAGTCACGTAAACCATAATACCACCAATTCATTCTTTACATTGATTGGTAGCGAAAGTTTTTTTGAAATAATTGAAGGTCAAGGAAATGTTTGACTAGTCTACAAGTTGTTTTTGATATTCATGAATAATTTTACCTGAAGTACGAGTAAATATTAGCTGACCATGAAGTTGTGTTTGTCACTGGTAAAGAAATATACTACTATGCTACTACTAATGCTATACTACTTATTTTTATGAACTTCCCTTCCCCCAAGTGAAATTTTTGACAAAAGTGAAAAAAAGACATGAATTCATAAGGACTTTCATGAAACTTCAACTTCACAAACACATTTGAAAAATATCAAATTACAGAAACTTAGGTGTATGTTTACACACTTCAATTCTCCATGTGTATCTGACATTTTTTAAATGATTTTCCATAATATCTTCTTCCCATTTGCAAAAGAAATTTTCCTGAAAATTAAAATGTCCTAACAGGTGACATTTTAGTACCAGATTCAAATTGGCAATGACATTTTTTTTTCCCCCAAGACAGAATTAAAAAAAAACATTCATTTTTTTGAAAACAAATTTAACCCAGCTAGCTTTATTGTATAACCACCGTCCTCTACATACAACCCTGCAACAACATATACAGTATATCATTTTACTTGAAAGAATCAATGAAAATAACAAAATTTTGCAAAATTGACTGATAATAGAACAGTTTACAAGTAAACATGTTCAAAAATAAAAGATAACTGAGATTCAAAACATGAAATTGTAAATTTAACTTTAAGTTAATTATTTCTCTCTGCTTAAGTTGTGAATTATTTCGTACAAACATTACACAACAGACATTTATTTATTCGTTTTTTGTGGGGAAAAAAAATACTTTGGTGTCTTTACTTACTGTATCATCCCATGACATTTCATCCACACCAGTTTCAAACAAGGTTTCAAACTCAAAATTCACACGCTCCTGAAGGAAAAAAAAAATATTTGAGTTTGTGTGGCCCTGCAATATGAATAACCATGGTGTACTGAGTTTGAGTTGTTAACACATCATCAAATGTTTTAAGTAGTAGTGGTAGCTTACATTATATTTAGCAATTGCTTTGAACAAAATGTGCCCCCCCCCATAACTTTCACATTGTATTGATGGCTCTTAAATCATCAAATTATTGGAAGTGGAAGGGGGATGATATACTAAAATAGGGTGATGGTTTCAGTATTGCAAAAAATGGAAATACAAAATTTATGCATTTTTTTAAATAAACCATTTTTGTTAACTTCTATTGTTTCAAAAAATTTGCTTCATGAATTTTACCAAAACAATATGATACCTTTATGATTTGTATGCCATGCTGAATATGTAATAGGAATGTATGATTGCAGAGTATTAGTTTTCACCTAACTGGTCATTAAATTCACATCTATCATTCATTTTATTAGGATTGTGTACTTATCTTATTTGTGTTGTACTTTTATCGATATTGATTTTTTTTTTATTCATCGAGTTGTGAAATCTCTATATCACATCCTTTTCACCACCAGTTCCCTCTTTTCATCACAAAATAGTCATGTTTATAGTCTGCACTTTCTTTCAGAAGACTGGGACAATAACAGCGAAACGTTTTGGGTAAATACTGAAAATTTACTCAAATTTTGTCTGTTGGCTCCAAAATTAGACTCATTTCATATGAAAGAATATAAGAAAAAAGTGCAGAACAATTTTAGCGAAAAAGTCTGGTGGTGAAAAAGATATACAAATACTGTAGAATACTTTATTTTCGCTTGGGATTTATTTTAGCTATTTTCGCTGAAGGGATGAAAATAAAATCCAGCGAATATACTTTTTTTCCTATATATAACATTAAACTCATCAAAAATCAATGAAAATAAATTCCATACAAAACGCCCAAAAAGCCTTTTCAGCGAAAATTAATTCCAGCGAAAATAAAGTATTCCACAGTATATGAAAACGCAGTTTGGCTAACAGTCATAGAGAAGAAGTGGAAAATATCAGTTTTGATCCAAAATATTAAAAATAGAAAATCAGTGATATAGTAATTATGAAATAAAAATGGTATAAAAAAAATATTTTTGAGTTGAAACATCTATAAACGCAACAGAAAGATGGACAGATGAAATAAATAGATTCATTTGATTGTCATCTTTAGCAAAAGTCTCCAGCTAAAAACATACATATGAACAAAATGATATTATAGTGTTGACCAGATTAGTTTAGAGTTCCCTGGTTGCTTAGTTACTATTCACGAAGTCAATACACGTCAACAGCAATACTCAGATTTTTAATACCATGCCAGCTTTAAGTTTTGTTCCAATCATCTTGATTTTGTTATATAGACATCCATGTTCATGAAATGTTATTAAAATGTAGAAAACAGGTTTTCATTATATATACACAATGACGATAATTTGGTATTTTAATGAACCATGATTGTAAGTATTAATTCTGGGAAACATCATACAATTATATCTATTTACTCAAAAAACAAAGGCAAACAGGACCACGAATGATGGATATAAATACACCCCCTCCTTTGTGAGCACCCTCAGTAACATAGCAACAAGGGAACACACCTAAGATACTGCTCTATTACACTGCATTATCAACGCACCTTGATCAAACCGGCAATCAGTAATTTATTCACATACACAGTTGCAGTATGTGCGTAGTAAAATATCAACGGCAGACGTAATCGGTCCGGACACTTGTAGAACACAGACGTATCTGAAAATAATGAAACAAACTATTGTTAAAATTTTGTACGACTTTTATTGGTCAGATGAAGTTTTGTAGTAGTGTAAATTAAGCAGGAGTTGTAAAGACACAGTATCACGATGACTTTCATGATCATTAACATCTAAAATTGCAATACTGTAAACCATTTAATTTTCACAGCTTGGAATATCCATCATTTCATGGCTCTTGTGAAGACATTATTATGCAAAAGCCACTAACACTTTGTGTTGTGGGACACCTGAACAATTCAATTTACAGTAAAATGGAGGCTGTACACCTAATTTCAATTAATCAAATAGTTATCTTTTTTGTAGAAGCATAGATAAACAAACTATTGGTATATATACCAGGTCGATATAAATTCTAGGAATAGGAGTTTTTTTATGGCTTGAAAAACAAATTGTTTTTCTTTGATTTTCTGTATTTCGAACTACCGGTAAATGGATATAATTTTTCTTTTGATCTTGATTAAAATTTTTTGAAAATTAATGATAATTCTTTTACAAAATTACTGAATCAAGTGAGAACTGAAGATATCATCACCAAATGAACAAATCTGAGAGAGGTCTACCTGAGGTACCTATATGTATAATAAAAAAACAATCAGACTTGGAGTTTTCAACAAAAAGTCAAAAATATCACTTTTTACCAAAAATTACAAAAATATTCATCAAAAAAAGAAGAAAAAAAAGGGTCTACCCAAGGTACATAAACACTGAGTATCAAAGCAATCGAACTTGCAGTTTTCAAGAAGAAGCCAAAAAAGTAAAAAGTTGATACGGGTGCCGACGCTGACGGAAATTCAGTATTATTATACCTTATGACCATAACAGCAATTAGATTCGCACATTACAGGTAGACATATTCATGTGTCAACCTGCTGCCATATTCGTATGACTATACCTCCATCCGGGTACCTTCCTCCTCAATTTACCTGATTTGCGCCAATCACTTGTCAGGGGAACACAATACGTGTCAATATTCGTGAACTGATTGGTTTTCCAGGTTTACGTTTACTATTTGAGTATCTTATTGAAAAAAAAAAACTTGGATTTTGTAGCATTTTCACATGATTTTTAGTCAAGCTTGCCGTGCGTTTCGCCAAAGGCCTCAGCACCATGCTTTGAGACATTCGATCTGCGATTGTGTAGTTTGTCTACCTAAATAGTCGTGGGCTTTGCCTTGTGACGGCACAGTTTTGTTTGATTTTGCACGTTTTGACTGTATATAACATATCATGTACAGTGTATTTGTTGAAAGTGAATGGTGTTGACATAAAAATATACTCAAGCATTTTAGTGTTCTATTGCGAACTGGAACGCAGCGCAGCATACAGCTGCACACAGGATGACGCTGTGTGTTTGTAAAAATTAATTCTTCGTCAGGCTGAAGCTGCAGAATCTAAGTTTATCAATACAACCATGAACATAAAAAGGCAGTAGAATTTAATCACTGCTTTGAACTCTTTCAACTTGTATATCTTTGTTCATAAGCGTACATGCATTCAGCTATATGAGCGTGACCTGGAAGATTGTCATGATTGAGTGCCACAATTACTGTTTTAAGATTTATTCGGTATAATAATACAAATGTTCACCCCCAACAGCAGTGGACATACAACTCTTTGGGTCGCTAAAACTGTATGTTCACCTCCGTTGTAGTGAACATTTGTATAATGTGATTGATAGTGTTTTCCTACTCAGGAGACCATTAAATCCTTGGGTGTAGTGACCAGTTGTCATAAAATATACCTCATAAATGCAATGCACTCTACAAAGTCTGTTGATCCGTTCTGTAAGCCAGTTCTTTATACACGTAGGTGTGTAACCCCAAAATGGGATTGGAACTTGTCGTGTGATCATGGGTCTAGCACAACAACACAAAAACCGATTCGACCCGATAATTGTTTGGAACGACAGATTTAGAATCAGATAAAACACCCTGTTACTGTAATAATGCTGCTGCTTCCGGGATATAAATTAATCAAGAGTGACAGAGACAAAATGACTTTTGCTGCAGCCATTATCGTGAGTCAGACCTTTATAACTGACGAATCTGTATGTTATAATGACGAATCTGTATATTAATCCGAACATATGACATGCAACATAAAAAGCAAAGAATTCAACAGTTGAAAACACAGTATGTGTACCTTGTGACAAAAAACCCTTCATTATCCTTTTTATAAGTGTATTTTTGATCACGCACATTTCTGGTTCAATTGTTCTCTATTCAAATTCATCTTTTTAGCTCTATGTCTGTATTGGTATGGAGAGCAGACTCCACAAAATTGCTTTTTACATATTTACTAAGTATCTAGTCAATCAAAAATATGTCCAAAATATTACTTTTTACCAAAAATATTAGCTAATAATGGAGAATTGAAGAAATTATTACGGAATTAACAAATCTATGAGATGTCCACTCAGAGTACATATTTACTGATCTGAAAAATAGAATGACGTGCATCAAGAACTCATAATGTCTAATATATATACCAAGTTTGAATGAAATCCATCCATAAATGCCAGAAACGCTTGCTATTTGATGATTTTTTAGCACAAAAATGGCCATTATTCGGCCATTTTGAATAGGATTGTCAAACCAATATATCTGTTTATCTATGACATGATCTATAATGAATATTTAAAATGTGAACATAATCAGTGAAAGCAAGTCAGACATATGGCATGAGAACCACATACATTAAAACAAAATGGCCG